AGAGGCCCCTGTGACCTCCAAGCCCAGATGTTCCCGGCCTCATGTGTGACCAAGAGCCAGACCTCGCGTGGACTTCAGCCCTTAGACAGCGGTTGGCGTGACCGGCGTTTGGCGTTGGGCACGGAGTCCTGGTCTACCCGACGTGGAGCAGGCTCACAGGAAGGATCGACCGGCCGACCACCAGGGGGCCCACGTAGCGCCAGTCCCTTCCAGCCTCAGGCGTCCTCGGCAGAGACAGCTCCCAGGAATGTCTGGCCAGACCTTTGCCAAGGAAGCCAGACCAGACCCCTCTGTGCCGAGTCCCCGTGGAAAAGGGGCCAGAGACATGGTCCACAGCTATTTTTGTGACACGGAGGGTCCCAGCCCGGTGCCTGAATCACCGTGGCAAACAGCATCCACGGCCTGGCCAGTGTGGTTCAGTGGTTAAGCATTGACCCTTGAACCTAGAGGTCGCCGGTTCAATTCCCGGTCAGGGCACAAGCCCAGGTTGCAGGCTCCATCCCCGGTGGGGGTCATGCAGAAGAGAAGGCAGCCAATCGATGTTACTGTCATCAATATTCTTCTCTCTCTCCCTCTCCCTTCCTCTCTCACATCGATGTTACTGTCATCAATATTCCTCTCTCTCTCTCCCTCTCCCTTCCTCTCTCTCTAAAAACCTTGTGGGGCCTCAGGGGACCCAGGCGCCGGTGACATTCATTCCAGGGAGGAGCGGCCGCCTCTCCGCTCCGCACCCTCTCCTTGTGCCACGTGGCAGCGTGCAAATGAGCGGCATGTGTGCGCACAGACCCCGAGAGCTCTAATGTGTGCGCATCACCAGCAAGCGTTGGCACGTTACCGCCAAAGTTTAGAAACAAACAGAACTCGCTTGTCTCGCACCTCCCGCTGATTGCCACGGGGAGCCTGGCACGGCCCGGGCTGCCAGAGCGGCTCCTCTGCCCACTGCCCCCTCCTCCCGTCTGTTCACCCGGTTCTCCTATCGTGTTAGATCCAGGAAGCAAAGGCCCCAGAGGAGGAAAGCTACCACTTTACACTCCGTACCCTCACACACACACACTCACACTCACACTCACACACACTCACACTCACACTCACACACACTCACACTCACACTCACACACACTCACACTCACACTCACACACACTCACACTCACACTCACACACACTCACACTCACACTCACACACACTCACACTCACACTCACACACACTCACACTCACACTCACACACACTCACACTCACACTCACACACACTCACACTCACACTCACACACACTCACACTCACACTCACACACACTCACACTCACACTCACACACACTCACACTCACACTCACACACACTCACACTCACACTCACACACACTCACACTCACACACACTCACACTCACACACACTCACACACACACACACACACTCACACACGCGGCGATGCTCAGCATTTGGTTAGTACTTTCCTCCAGTCCAGTGCGTTGTTTACATTAACGTATTTAATGCCCTGATATTAAAGTCAGCCCCTTCAGAATCGACAGAGCTCCACGTCCCACATTAACCAACAAAAATACGCTCGGGGTTTTACCTCTTAGGACGGGATGGGGGGGCAGGACCCCTCACAGACCTGCACGATCTCGCTCCTCTTTCTCCTTCTGAACTGAGCCTTCCACTCCTTTCTGAAGGGACATTTGATTTTCTTTTCAGATGTGTATCTGACCTCCTTTACTGTGCGATTCCCCTTATTATTATTATTTTTTTTAAAAAATGTGTCCGTGAGTGTGTTTCCAAGGGCTTCCTTCTCTGGATTCCAAAGCGTGTTCTGGGAGGGTGGCTGGGGCGGCGGTAGAGGATGTGGTATTTGTGTGTAGTCACTTTTATTGACGTGTAAGCACCTGTATGATGGGCTAAGCGTTAGGTACCAGGTGTGATGTGTCCTTGGTGTCGGCGCTCACGCTCACAGGGAACGGGGAGGGTAATAGGGCGTGTTGGGAGCCGACGGGGGAGAGCTGGGGCCTTATTCCCGCCTGCAGACTGAGCGCAGGTGAAAAGCCATCGTCCAGCCTGGCCCCTTCCCCTCCGTGTCTCCTGACGTTCCGTGGGAAACGCGCTGTCATGAACCCTTGCTTACCACTGGGGCTGGGAGGGATTAAACACGCCCCGCTGTCCCGGAGCGAGCACCTGGGAGCCATGTGGACACCTGAGGCGGCCCCTTGGCTCACATTTTCTAGGAAAAGGTGATTTTTTTAAGGTTTTGCTGTCCTTGTTTGGTTTGGTTGTGTGTGGGGGTGAGTATGGCTCGTGTCCCTGTTCCGGGCTCAGTCTCGGAGGAAGAACCGCCGCACTTGGCTGTCGCGGTGACCGCTCTGCTGGCCTGGCTGGGATCTCTCTAGGTGCCAGGGGATGGCGGCTGAGCCCCCACATCTCAGGCAGCCCTCCCGCCCCCCGCCCCGGGCCTGGCACCTGGGCAGAGAGGGCTGGCAGCCTGGGACTCCCGTCTCTCTCCACGCGGACTCCCCGTGGAACCCGCTTGGGTTTCTTTACATGGTGGTCGGACCCCAAGAGCCAGCGTTAGAAGAGACCCAAAGGGGAAGCCGCCATCGCTGCTCCTGAAATCTAAGCCTGGAACCCCCTTCTCGTCTGGCATCGTCTGGGCCTGAGGCAGCCAGAGGCAGCCCCTCTCAAGGGTCAGGAAGACACAGTCCACTTCTCCAAGGCGAGAGGGACAAGGGTCTGTGGGCATCTCGCACCCACACAAGGGGACGAGCAGTGACAAATAGCACAGGAAGTGAGAGCATTCTTCCTCGACGTCCATGCCCGTCGTCCTTAAAGGAAATGCAGGAGGTCACGGCTCGATTCCCGATCAGGGCACCTGCTGGGGTGCAGGTTTGATCCCCAGTAGGGGGCGTGCAGGAGGCAGCCGATCCATGAGTCTCCCTCACCATTGATGTTTCTCTCTCCCTCTCCCTTCCTCTTTGAAATCAATAAAAATATTTTGAAAAAAGATTTAAAAAAGGAAAGAAAATATATCTTAGGAAAATGACAGCAACCAGAATGCCATGATGTCTTTCTGTGCACACGGCATCGCACGGGAGTGGGGACGGGAGTGGGGACGGCTACCCCGGGGCAAGTCCCACCCCCGAATGACAAGGGTTTCAGAGTCCGGCCCTGCGCGCACATGGCCGGCGTTCAAAGGCCTGGTCCAGGCCACGGCCACTTAATGCTCGAGCTGCAGAAATTCATTTCAACCTCCCGCCTCCATGACTCAGAAGCCGCCGCACACGCGGGGAGGGTCACCGCAGCCGCATCCATTATCATTTCAGGGCCCCGCGGCCCGGGGCCGGCTGACAGACCGCCAGGGAGATAAACCGCTTTTACTGTAAGTCACCCTCTGAAAAAAGGGATTTACGAAGCAAATTAAGAGGGTGAAGCAACTCGCAGGGGGTGACGCAGAGCCCGCCCCAGACACCAAACTTCCCAAGCCACTTTGGGAGCGTGATTACCATACAATTACAGGAATGCTCCATCTATCCGCCTGTCAGGGAGGGGCGCCCCTGTAAGTGGGTTTTGCAGATAATGACGGCTTCCCCCCAGAGGCACCCAGTCATCTTCGCCAGACCAGACAGAAGTCCTGCCCAAATGCACTGCGCCTCCCTCCGCCTCCACCTCCAGGCACTGGCCTGGCGTCTCCTCTCATGATCACCAAGGTCCCTAAAATGCCACCTCTGCACCATACGCTGCCTCCACTCATTCAAAACACACCCATTGACCCACTGCTTCTCCCAGGTGCTGTTTTTCTCGTCCTCTTACCATTTTTTTCTTTTCTAACTTCAGGTGCCAAGAGTTGAGAGGGCTTACTCCTAGGGAGGTGACACACTATGTCGCCCGTGGGTTTTGTTTTAATTTTTTATTTATTTTATTTTTAATATATATATTTTTATGGACCCACTGAGCCACACCTGCCCGGCTGTTTTAATTGTTTAAATCCCTGATCCCCTTACCCATCCCTTATCTCCCCTTAGGCATCCCTATCCATGCATATATTTTGTGTCTATTCTTTCAACATATGTGTCCCAGG